CAAAAATGCCCTTTTTAATCATTGTTTTAGGTAGATACTGGCTTGATAAATAATACAATGTCTTTTTTCATATTTGCTTTAATGCCTTAAAGTGCTTGAATCCTAGTAATCGCTGCTTGCAGCTATATATTTATAATTGTATTAATTATATTAAGGTTATATTAATTAATAAATCAAAATTTTTCTTATGGAAGCAAAGATGAATTACAAGAACGTATTGTTTTCTTTCCAGCAGCAAATTTGAGGGGTCAGAAGACTGCAGGTAAAATCTAAATATCATGTCTCTCTTAAATGGTATATTGAACATATGTCTTGATTTGATTCAATTAACTTGCTATCTTGCCTGATTACCCAGCATCCTCTGTGAAGTCCATAGTTTTGAGTGCAGATCACCCAGGCTTGACCTTTAACCTCACTGTGGTTAGGACTGAGCCGACCTATAGCCAGCCTGTCCAGCAATGGATGTTCATCTCAGACTTTTCTGTGAGCGGATCTCTCTTTGCCCACTTTGTGGTTTTAAGGACATTTCCGTTTACTTTTCATGATAAACAGTTCTGGCTGTGTTGAGTCGCCACTTGATGGCCAATGTAAAATCTGTGTTCTAAAGTAAAATCAATTGAGAAAAACTAACTTGCATGATGCCTGTGTGTTTGTGACCTGCAGATTCGTGATTATTCAGGCACATACACAGTGAAGTTGATTCCCTGTACAGCAGCGCTGAATGTGGAGTACACCGTTCCTCCAGTCTGCAACCCTAGAGAGCCGGTTACTTTTGATCTTGATATCCGCTTTCAGCAGGTAAACTAAAGAAATATTCTGTCAGTAAAGCAGAAGTGAAATACATTCTCAAATTTAAGTTAGCTTTTCATTTCCGATATTCATTCTACTGGTTGTTGATAGAATTTGTAATAGAAAAACTGTATTAAATCAGCAAAATGCAAACAGATTCCAGTGTGTGTGTTATAAATAATATAAAATAAGATATACTCTTGTATATTTTTTAATTTATTTTTAGAAGTTAATTCAAGCTCTTCTAAAGAAGTATTATTGTCTTTACTTTCTCGAGGTGAGTGACCCTGTGGCGGTGGAGTTCAGTCTGAGCACACAGATGTTCCTGTTGTCTAAGAAGGCGTTGTGGTTGTCAAATGGATCTATGGGCTTCGGCCAGGAGAGTGATGCAGCTTTCTCTGAGGGTACGTCTACTAAAACACCTAACTTAATCAGTTCAAGAGGTTAATTCTTTAAGTGAATATAACCAACCACCTACCAACGCATTGGAACACCTTAGAAATCACATAGCAATACCCTTGTATTGTTACAGAGTTTTGCATGGATAAATATCACTTAAGAACGTAAAAGTCTAGTTTGTTTCAGTTGTTTGTTGTTCCGCAGATGTGCGATGTGTCTTAGTTAAACAATCTAGTTAGTGTGTAATTTTTAGAACTGCCATTCTTGTGATTTATGTTTCACTGAGCTGGTTCTCTTGAAGGTGACACAATCTATGGACGGGTGATGGTGGACCCTGTGCAGAACTTGGGTGACTCTTTCTACTGTAACATTGAGAAGGTGTATCTGTGCACCGGCGCTGATGGATATGTTCCTAAATACAACCCCGCCAAGTCTGAATTTGGATGCCTGGCAGACTCTCCATCCCTGCTGTACCGATTCAAAATTATTGTGAGTATGTTAGCAGGGTCGTTATTGTGTAAGTCATTGTTAAATGAAACAAAGCTGAAAGAAAATAAATTAATATATATATATATATATACTGTATATATATATATATATA